CACTTTGGGGGGACTTCAGGGAAATATTGGGGGTCTAAACAGATCCCTGACATTTCTCTTTTGAAATAAAAAAAAGAGATTGAGGACACAGAGTTCTCTGCCCATTCAGGTGGGGGAGAGCAGCGGGGATCCGAGGAGAAGCTGGAGCCTGTGCCGCTCCTCTTCTCCCTGCTAAGCTGCGGCTGTGGCCCTGTGCTCGCCATGGCAACAGGGGCAAGGGGGCGCAGCCCCCTCTTAGCTCCGCCTCACTCGCCCCATGGTAGCTACAGCCCTGACATACCATACCTGTACCATACCAAAGCCTTCAATGCCAGGTGCCATGCATGATTTTACATTTCATGGGTCAGCTTTGAACAAACATTCTGCTCTATGCGGTCACCGGCTCATAAGAATCACATTGTTTTAGTGGTCAGTTTGACAGCACTACTAACTTCTATGACTGCTTGTCTTTGTTCCATGTACTTCTCTGTTGAGTATAAGGTATGAGCTAAGACTATCCCTGCTTGACTTTCAGTAACAGTCACTTTACTGGAGGTCCGCTTTAATTTAAATGGAAAGTGATCCCCATTGAACATCTTGGTTAAATCTCCATTTAAGGTGAATATTCTTATATAGTGATGGTGGGAATTTACATCCGAAAATATAAAATAACATCATTATTTATATGTGCAGTTTATTTATGGGTGTAGATTTCCATTTCATTTAAACTCAGCATACATATTACTTAAATGTTTTGAAATGGATAGTAGAATTCCAGACAAAATACAGACTATATGAGAACAAAATGCTACTTCAAATTATAACAAAAATAACCTTTCACTTTTACTCCTTTTATTTCCTACCTACTACAGATTGCAGTAACAAGTTGTGTCTGCCACTTTCACACATCAGAATATAATAGAGACAACACATGTACACTTGTAGCTAGTCTGGACACTTTATGGATCTAAAACCATTTAGACCAATGGTTCTCAACCTCTGTAACCTAAGGACCCCTATTTGTCCTTGGTCATTAAGTTGCTACACAAGTCACACTGAAATGTTCCACGGTTGCGCTACCATGCGTTCCGGTGCGGGCAATTGAACTCTGGGTGGAAGGTGTGTTTGTGGTATCATTTAAAATTAAATGAATGGCAACGCAACACACCTCCCACACCAGAATGCGTAGTAGGTGCGTCTGCATGGCACAGTGAGTTAATCGCACACAGATACTAGTGTGAACAGGCCCTCAAAAACACTGACAGACATAATCTCACACACACATAATGTAATTTTTTTTTAAGATCCACCCAATTTTCCTACCTTACGAGAACTGGAGTGGATCCTCAGTCTGGGGTCCAGTGTGAGCTGCTGTGCCATGACGGAGCTCCAGCCATATGTACATTGCTTGCACAACTCCCTTGCGCACCCTGCAGAGATGCCGGGAGCCAGAACGTGATGTTACTCCCATCCAAGCACCTCTACAGGACATGCGAGGAAGCTGTAAGCAATGCATGCATGGATGGAGCTCCCCTACGGCCATAGCTTCAGCCGACCCCACCTCAAGCTGACACTCGGCGCCGAGCAGCATATGAATTGCTGCTTTGCGCGAGAACTGACAGTGCTGTGCTAGGGGAAGGCCAAGAAGTCTTTCACCTAGAATTGTGGAATGCATGCAACGACCCACTGAACACATGTTTGCGACCCAGTTTTGGGTCATGACCCACCAGATGAGAACCAAGGATTTAGATAATTTAAGGGTTTTATTTATCAAAGTAAAAGTTGGGTATACATGGTTAGAATTTCGAACAAATGAAATCGATTTTGGAATGTTCATTCGACTTTCTAGTTATTGATGCAGTGAAATCGATGATTGATTTGGACCACAGTGACAATATTTTTTTAAGGAGCATGTAAAAAAAGTTTTTCTCGATCGTACAAAATTCTAACAGTGCAGACCGTGCAGCTGCTCCCGCAAGTCAGGTACACGGTCCGTGACCGCGTTCCTGACCTCTCAGATGGCTGCGGGCCACATAATACCGGTTCGTGGGCCGGTATTTCAGACCCCTAATCTAAAGGCTCCTGTATGACAGTCTAAACAGGTATCAACTCCAGTTACTATGTGGTGCATAAGTCTCATAAAGTATAATAAAAACTTCCTTTACCTTCCCTGACTGTGCCAAATCGGCCTTCATTTTTTATCTTACACGCTCCTACTCCCAGACACTGCAGATCACAGTGGGAGGGTTTCAGCAACAGAGGCAGTGCTGTCAATCACAGCAGTGGGCAGGACTAGGTGTAGTCAGGTGAATCCTGACTTGCTAGAAGCTTGTAAATCTGACAGGGACAATGCTGTTAGGCACTCTCCCTTCATCCCACTGTAGTGCAAGCAGACACAGCCTACATGAGAGTGGCAACTTTGCTCTGAATTCAGGAGCAGTGCAGCATTGTTGGCACTCCTTCACAGAAAGCTGCATTAGGTGGACTTCACTGGCATATCAACTACTGTTAGTGAGACTTTGTAGATGGACTAAAAAAAATAGTACGTGCAGATGCGCTTATAATTAAGCGTTGTAGCACATAAATAACGTTTATGGCCAACCTAAGGTTGCTTGTATTAAGTACACAAACTTTTGTTCCATACACAAATGTGTGATAATGTTCTTTGCTTGGCAGGGTTGTTTTTTGGTATCTATCATGAGTTTAACTGTGCATTAGGGTAAATCCAGCATTTAAGGAAATCCAATTTGTTAAATGGCTTAAAATTAAGGCTTCATGATGACACAATGGGAGCAGACTAAGCAGATGAACAGCTGAAAACTTCATTAGGATTACAAATCAGCAAATGAAAGCTTTCACTTAACATTTTCCATGTCCTTGTAAATAACAGGAATATATCTAAAATCGGTTTGGTTTTAAACAGGAAAAAGAGGGATATTTTTAATAAAATCTATAATTCAGTAACTTTGCCAAACGCTAGTAATTTTCCCAACCCTATAGATTTATCCAAAGGTACACAGATAAGCCTGCTTAGTAAATAATTTATCAGTAAAGTTCAAAGTAAATTTTATGACTAGCTCAGGAAAGCTTTTATCATATGTTGTTGAAAAGAGTATATAGCCATGAAATGTAGGGATGTATTGTTAACGGAAACTGACTTATGTAGTCATAACTGAGGTATGTACAGGTAGGAATTGGTGGGACAGTGCAGCTTTACAAAAACCTGGATGCAAAAATGATCAATGACACTATCTAAACTTGGGTGAGCACTTGATACTAATAATAGGAAACACCCTGACCTGGATGTATCTGTGGTAGGTACTTTTGTATTTATTTATTTTTTGGAGATGTGCAACCAGGCCCACTCTCACTAAAACAAATCTAGTTACCATATCAAGGGTAGTTTATGAATGGTTTTGGTCATGCAAAGGTAGGCAAATTATAATTTCAAAATACTGAAATCCTATAGCAGACATTAGGTGATACTCACACAGTAGTTCAACTCTGATATACCAACACTGACACCTGTAGACCTCTTCAAATTTCCATCATGTGACACTACAACCTGCTCATCGTTCGTGAGATGACAATCAAGTTCCAGCATATCTGTCCCGAGGCTGACAGCACTGAAAAGTAAAACAACAAAGCACGGTTAGTTGAGAAAATAACAAAAAGAATTGAAACTACACACAGTGGCTGGTGTACAAAAACTTGCAGAAAGAAAATAAATAACAACCTCTGATTGGCTTTTATGGACAACAAAAACAGTTTCTTCCCGTTCCTATAATTCGGCCCAGCGGTTTCTACACAGGCTTTTATCTACTTGAAGTTATCACTTGGGACCTAAGTAACATTTGTTGTAGAGCACGGGAACACTGTGATGAATCTCTTCATCTAAAGCCCTTTCTTCATATATATTTAGCTATTTCCAAATACAGGCCTGGCGTAAGCAGCTAATAACAAATTTGTTTCACTGAGTTTTACATCAAAACGAAGCTATACATTTTTTTAAAGTGCACATTTGGACAGCCCATCACAGTTGCTACATGTGCCCGTTATAGCTGAGAATGCAATCTATTCTAGCACAATCCTTGGTTTTACTCTCTGCTGCAATCTGCCACTAACCGATAGTTACCAACCAGCTGGGCCCTTGTCATTGGCACTGTCTATACAAACTCTATTATCTAAAATCCTGGTCATGTGAATCAAAAAGCTAAGCATCTTGTCCAAGATCTGACCTCCCTGCAGTGCTTTGTTTGTTGAAGTGCTGGGCTCCCCTATACTCCTTGGAAGGGGGCACTGTTGGGGGCCCTCTTGTCCTTTTTGAGGCTATCTGCATGGGTACAGTGCATGGCCACATTGTAGGAAATTATGTAAACTAATATTAAGCTATTACAGTTCTTAAACATGCAAGTTCATAACCCACACTGTATATAATGTGACTCAATACATTTAAATATGTTTATAATCACACCTATTTTTATGCCCAGAGAATAGCTGCAACTGCAAGCTGTAGTGTACTGGTGCAGTTATTGTCTTCTGGTATATTACTCTCTGAGCTGTCTAGTGAACATACTGGGCATACTACTTTAATACTCGACCAGTCTATAGCAGTGTAATGCTAAAGTGCATCAGCATTGTGAAAGAAGAGTTCATTATTATGCAAAAAATACACCTGTGAGACAGTTCTAATACAGAAAGAACATTCAGAGGTTAGCTAAGCAGACCTTCAAAAGATGCCTCTGGCTCCCAGCAAATTGGCTAGCTATACATTCATTTTACAAAACAGATATCTTAAAGGAACAGTCCATCCAGCGAGGAGATTTCAATTTAGGGTAGAGTCACCCACCAACGTATTGGCTCTCTGGTGTCAGGATCTCTGTTCCCTAGTTTCAGGGCCAACTACAGGTCATTATGAGGAGGGCTCATTTCACCACACTAGAAAAAAAAAGGAGCAATGAGACTCCTCTTGAATTAGCAGAAGACTCCATTGCAAGGTGGGTAGAGTTGAAAAGTAGATCTCAATATAACTGAAATATCTATTTGTAAACTTCCCCATACACAGCTGTCATGTAAGGTGGACTTCCAGATTCTCTCAGTCCAAAAAACAAGGGAAGGGGAGGTTGCACCCCTTCTTTGCTGCTTGGTAAATATGCAAAGCTAATTTTTCAGGTGCTTTTTAAAAAAATATTACGTGAAACAAAAGAGCTTTGTGTTTAATTCAGAGCCTTGTCTCTAACAACTTCATTCTAACCTCGATTCAGACACCGGGAGACCTAGGAGGTGCCTCAGTGGATGTCCAGGAGACCTATCCATAACCTTCATTCTTTTTTGGGGGTTTTGTTTGTAATTATTTGTTTATTGGTAAGTAACAAATACTTATCAATAAACGAAGATACGTATAAGATAGGATAAGTACAACACAGGAGCAGGTCGTGGAAACAACACTCATAAGCATAAAGACCCATAAAGACCATGTCTCAAAAATATTAATAGATGGCTAAGCCATCTCACCCAGCAGGAAAATAACAAACACCTCTTGAACTAGAACATCAGATGTGTCTAAAACATCTTCAAAGTGTAATAGATCATTCGGCAAACAGTGCGTATAGTCCATCACAAAAATCCAAATAAATCATGGAACACCAAATTCAGTGGTGATAAGGCATACCCTTAGACAAGTTGTGATCTAACCTCCGTTCTTGTAGCAGTAAACTGGGACACACACACACACACACACACACACACACACACACACACAGTGCAACTAGTCAAGGCTGTGCACCTGCCTGTCACTGCCTGTATCCACAAAGGAGGGTACACTTGTAGTCAGTCAGTGTCCGATGGAGCAGGCCATGTCAGTACAGACAATGTAAATGGGGTGGCTTCTGTGTGCCTATTGCAATTCTTATTAATGTCAACCAAAGGGATGGGAGAGCCAAAGCTGGTACCCTGATTAGGACACAACGTGGATTTATTCAATTTCTGCATTAAATCATTTATAACATGGAATAACACATTTTGGAATTATGATTCTATTGCCCTTGCCATTTTATGCCTTGAGGTTGAGATGTATACTGGCTAATGCCAGCAAAGTAATTTCCCTGCAGACTTTTGCTGTGACAGCAGGGCTACAAGGCACAGTACATCTGAGCTTCAATGTTAAAAAGGAGAAAAAGAACGGACCCTTTACAGCTCACAGAAGCAATGTCTTGAAAGCTCAGCACAAATGTGACAACAGTTTTATGTGGTAAACTTTATTCTTTCTCTGCAGAAATGAAACTTGCTTGAGAAGCTAACCCATCAAAAGGTTAAGCCAGGGCAGTACACACTATCTGACTGCAGTATGTCACATTACTTAGAAAGGGTTTTCACACATATACCACCTGCAAGACTCTTTATTTGGTAACAGGTTGTGGCTTACAGCTTAACTTATTTTCCCTAGGATATGACCATATTTTTGATGAACTTTTCATTAATGTGCAGTTAACCTCATAAGGAAAATTATAATGGTTTTGGGTCAATTTAGTTTCTATACTTCTTTTTTTACATTTTAGATAAGACGTACTATACAGTATGTATACATTCATTATTTATAAATAAACAGGTAATATATCACAAAGTATTCCCAGAGAACAATGGGTTATCTACAAATGTCATACCTGCAAAGAAGTACAGGAATACTTACCTCTCCTGCTGCCCACACCTACAAACACCACTCTGGTGCAGAGTAATCCCAGAGTGAATTATCTTCTGAAACCTACACTTCCATTAGTGTCGATATCCTGTGACCCCTGCTGAATAGTTTCTTCTGCGGACCACCATGTAATGAGATAAAGGTCAGCGGCAGCAACCATTTAGTTGGTTAATGTGGGCTCCAGTAACCCCTAAAGTGGCTACTGGAGCCTACAGAAGGGAAAACTGTTCTGTGGTTTAAATTGTTTGTCAAATGTCCTTCTATAGAACATATTCTGCTCATTCTAGTGACAGGCACTAGGGTAAGCACAGTGATTTCATTGAAATAGCAAGTGTACATTTATCCATGGGCACCATCCAGTCCTTCATCTGGATGACTAACTAATCAAACTGTCATTGTTCAGCCTTAATCTGAATTTTGGGCTACATGTTGGTGTAATTCATTTAGCTTTAAGTGAACCTCTGCTTTACCCATAAACGGCAGAGCACCAGGTTAATTTTAAGGGTCATGTCACATTAGCGATTCCGTCATTGACAGTAACCCTCCAGCAACAGGATTACTAAAAAGAATACTCACTTGCTCCTATAGCTTTACTTGCTTGCTGGCTGAAATTCTGCACAATCTCACTCGCCAACGATGAAATGGCACCTCATTGAAGGGACTTGCTCCGTTGGACCAAGTGAGTGTCAGGATAGGATCACTTGTATGACATGGCTCTAATGCTGATTCTGTAGCTGCATATATTTACACTTGCGCTGCTAGGAAAATGGAAAAAATACCCATTACTTCTAAGTATAGGGGTAGCATGTGACTCATGTCTCTCCTCCCATGGACAGCTCTGGTGTTTGGTAGTTGGCTGTCGAATGGGGTGAGGAGGGAAACCTGAGCCCTCTGTAAGCTTTAACTAGTTTTATCTTGAAGCTTACACAGGCCTGATTCTCCTGGTGAATGAGATTGGGAAGCAACGGGAGTGGATTAAAAAACTGCTACAAGGGCCATCATTAGGGCTTGTTCAAACCAATGTTGTGTGTTAATTGTGCAGAACCATGCAATTAACGCACAGCCTAGGTGTGAACGGGCCCCTAATATGAACCTGCATGGGCAAAGCAAAAGTTAGCAAAAGCCACAGTCTCAGCTGATAATACAAGGCCTTAGCTAGTTTGCAGTTAGGCATTGCAGCATTTATGAACTCTGTGTTGGTCCTTGATGCCCCAGCTAAATTGACTGTAACTGCAGTCACTGTCTGGTAGGGCTGCAGTTAACGATTATTTTTACAATCGATTAGTTGCATTTAAAAAAAATGCGCTCTCTCTCCCCTTCCCCAACCAACTAATCGATGATGAGAATAGTTGCAAACTATTCTCATAATTGATTATTATCGATTTAGTCGATTAGTTGTTGCAGCCCTACTTTCTGGCTATAAGTATTTGGCCTTTAGTGGGTCCATAAGACATAGTATTTGTATCCCCATTTAAAAGGAGTCCAAGGCCAACTTTATTACCTTCAGTTCCATCAGGCTCTCATTACCTTCAGTTCCATCAGGCGCTCATGTGATACAAACCACGTACCACACACAGTGTAAAAATATGTACCATCTGGGTAAACAGATGGAGGATGTACACCACTGGTGAATGATCTACACAAACATACATGTAAAAGACAGAAATGTATTCCACTAAACCTGAAAGGATAAGGGCAACTAATATGGGACTGGTATTATTTACTATGCTACTTTGTGGTAGATGCCCCCACAATTTATTATTAGCCTGTGTCATTTGTAGGCATTTACACAGGAGATTTTCTATTAAACAACCATGTATATCTACTTAGGAAATAACTGTATGTTCTTATGCACAGAGGGACTATTTTCCTTTTTAAAATGTCTGTAATTTCATCTGTCCTAAGGCTTTCTCTACTATTTTTTTTTAA